ACCTCACGGGTCAAAAGGAGGGCAGAGAAGATTTCTGCAGACCCTGAGGGACACAAACTGTTTGAACTCCTCCCCTCTGGATGGCGCTACAGGTCACTGTCCGCCAACACATCTAGACACAGAGAGAGTGTCTGCCCCCAGGCCATCACTCTTATGAACAGTTAGTCTATGTTTAAGAGTACAACAGGACTGAGTGTGCTACAGTAGCCTATGATTTAGTCAATACACAAATTTAAGCTACAGTTCCTAAATCTGCAACCTACTTTAAAAATCTCTGCTATGTTATCCTCACAGTGAAGCTTTTACAGGAGTGGTCTGTTTATGCTGCTGGGGCTTCTGAGCAAAAACTAGTTTCAATATACTGTACTGAGTGCACGTACTATTTTAACATTTCACTGTGCACATACTGCCATCTTATGGTTTCAAATAAAACTGTTTCACTACTTCTGAATTCCTTTTTGTCCACTCACTGATGCCAAGTGTTATTTGCTTCCACAAATCTTCAGCGCCATTTGTTCTAATCAAATGAACTTACAATACAATAAAGTTTGCAAACTGTCATTTTGAAAGTGATTCATGATTAGGCTATGCTTTCTTCTTACAATGTTAAGAAAGCAAATTGTAATAATGGTTAGTATGATTCAGTTATCTTAAATCACCAGAACCATTATAAAACATCTGACATATACTCTAGGTTTATTACATAGCTTGATTAGTATTGGCTCCATAACAAAATAAAGGTAAATGGCCTAAATAAACAGCTGTTTCTCTCACACTGAAATCTCTGAGACAGCTTTCCAGTCAGTATGTCCAGTCAGCAAAGGCTTGATACTTCAACTTGTCAATGGGATCCATATGCTCCTGTGTGTTTGAGGGATTTCTTGTCATCAGTCCTCTTAAGGGCCCACTTGGACTTTTTCAAGTGTCCACTCCCTGTGCCAATGTGTGTGGCCTAAAGGTTTGGGGACGTCTCAAGAATAGAAGCCTTCTTCGACTTTCCTTTAGTTACTAAAGAGCAGAACAAGACAATTGCAGAGATAACAAAAGAAAAATATATATACACAGTACATTAATTTCACTGATAACAAAAATTCAAGTATACTCCAACCACAGCTAGACTCAAGCTAAACAATTCTCCAGGCTGTCACAGATTTCCACCAGAGTGCTACAAATGTTTAAAAGACTCGGCATACTGGTCCTCGGTGTGCTGGTCATGGGTCCTGGATTCTGGTTCCGAGGTCGGGTCACTAGTCGGTCATACCACAGGAACGCGATGTCTCCCTTCGCCCTGGCCTCCCTTAACCTCGGCATCAACTCCCTTCTTCTCTTCCTCACAGACTCGGTGTAATCTTCATTTATATAAATATTAGGTCCTTTAAGCTTCTTTGCTTGTTGCAGTATGTGTGCCTTATCTTTCTCTTTCATCAACTTTACCATCACCGCCCTCGGCCCCCGCTCAGAAGGTTTCCCGACTCTGTGAGCCCGCTCCATCTCAATTTCTTGATGAATTTGCAGTTTATCCTTTAATATTTCCTTCACCTTACATTCCGCTTCCGTCCAGCTTTCTCCAGCTGACTCCTTGATTCCCTTGAAGATCAGGTTTTTTCGCTTGGACTGTACTTCCAAATGCTCCATTTTATCCGTTATGGCTATTAGACTCTCACAAGTTTTGTAGACATCATCCCTTGTTTCCTTGGTTTGTATTTTCTGTTCACCCATGGCTGCTTTAATCACATCCACATCTCGCTGGGTAAACTGCAAACTCGTTTTTATCTCCTGTATTTCTCTGGTCATGTCGTCGAGTCTCTTGTTATTTGTCTCCATAAGTAGTTGCACAAAACCTTTGAAGTTGTCTTGTTGGCTCAACAGTGCGGTGTACATCTGCTTCTGCTGACTCAACATCTCTGTTACTTGCGCCGCTGAAATATAATCCTCTTCTGCTTCAACATCCTCGATTGCTTCTGATTTATTAGCCCTTTTCCCTCTTGGAGGCATTTTAATAGCTGTAGAATTTGTTCAAAGACTTGAAAATGTAGAAGATGTGATAAATCGTAGAACAGACAAGAGGAGCAGTAAAAAAGACGTCTGCTCTCCCTTGAAATAATCCAATCTGCTAACATGATATAGTGAGCAAAACATAGCTTACATGCTAAACATCAGCATGTTGGCATTGTCAGTGTTAGCATGCTATCATTAGCATTTAGCTCATGACAGATGCAGGTAATTAGCAAACTAGTCCGTGAAAGGCTTATTTTGAGTTAGACAACTAAACAAAAGCATTTTGTTTTGGATTCTGGATATGGAAAATACTGAAAGTCTGCCATGCTATACACCCAACCTGCTTTGCTACATAAAATGAACATTATGTTTACAATGACACTGAAAAGGTACAGTTGATAAATCTGTAACCTACTTTAAAATAGGCGATTTTAAATAGTATTTTGACACTCTTGGCTTTCCTTAGTTGTTGAACGTGACTCTATTGGTGACGTATGTGACGTAGAATCGTGTAATACTCAGATTAGCCAGCTTTATGGTTGTTAGAGAAGAATATGTATTACGGAGTTAGATAATTGTTTTCCACGTGTACTCACAGTAAACCTATTGCTATCGTTATTTACAAGTCTGCAGTCTGGACGAAAATGACGGATTTGACACAGTCCTTGTTAAAAGAGGGCTGGTAGGTAGTGATGGCCTAGTGAGGCTTTGTTGAAGCTTCAACACAGTGTTCACACAAATGGTTCATTACTCGAGGCCTCAATGACACAGTGCTCCAGTAGGACATCTAGTGGTCAAGAAATTGAAGTGCAGTCAAGACGTGTCGCTTATTGGTTCATGGATTGGGATTTGATTCGCCATGCACATTCCTGTTCGACTACACTACATGGTTGTATGGTTTCAAGCTGACACAATAAAATATAAAATAAACATGGACACATGTTGAAGACCATGTTTCTTATTTGGCACCTCTGAGTGTAACCCTATATGCTCCTCACTTATATTCTGTGTTAAGAAACATTTAAATGGTGCTGCTACATTCATGACATGTGGTCTACAGATTCAGACAGATGTCATTTTCACATGGGATTGGTGCAAATACAGATTATAGTATGGACTTCTGCAAAGTTTGTTTTGGGGTTCATTGGTAAAGAGGTTCATG